AACAAAAGAGACTTTAGCAGTTACCTGGAGTAGCCTGTGCAGGGCCAAACCTCTTGTGCAGCCTTCCTGGCAGGTGAGCCGGCCTCTGCTCAGATTCCTCCATGGGTAGGTGCTGCTCACACCCAAAGACCACAGCCCTTTGCTCCTCTTTGTGTGACCTGACCTTATATGCTCCTATATGAGGCATAAGGAACTAGATCCTAACACAAAGATTTTGAAAAGCTTCTGAAACCTTTAGAATCACGGTGCTTCAAGAACATCGTGATTCGAGAATCTAGGAAGGAAGTAGAGGCAGGATGGTGAGCAAGACGGTGCGGAACGCTGGCTTAGCTAATAGAAACCAAGTCATTATTCCAGACAGCCAGAGCATGTTCTCTGATTTGTGAGCTGCAGTTATTCTAATTGATTTCTGCATACTTGCGGATAGGGATCTGCCCTCTTTCATTTATTTTTCTCTTGACAAGTAAGATGTGAAATGTTGTTCCATGCTTTTCTAATTTAAATGTTGCACATGTGGAGAACTGATCCTGCCAGCCATTTTAAGCCTGGCCAAAAACATAACACATTGTTGTTATTAGCCCTCATCATTTGGTTAGGGCCAACATTTTGTTTGGACCCGTAAAGGAGGATAAGTCTCCCTTCTAAGCATAACCTTCTTCTGCTCTGCCATTAAACAGATAAGAGGAAGCCCGAGCTAAGTTTCCTTGGTGAGTCGCCCTGGTGACGCTGATTAGGCCAGGGGTGTTCATTGTGAGAGACTTCTTGGGAAGTAGAATTTCGATCTAATTCAGTTTTTTTTTTTTTTTTCAATATTACCTCAAGGATCTGTAGGAGGTATAAGAGGAGAAATTAAGATGAAGATGACCAGGTTTTATGCCCGTGAGGCTCCTCTGAGAAGCAAGACACATGGAAAACTGATACAAGGGTGTGTGTGAAAAGTACACAGGCCCAGCGATTAGAGAGAACGTGGGGGAAACAGAGCATTACCTCCAGGTCTGGGTCTGGGACCGGCAGCGGCGGCAGTGTCTGTGAAGCCCTGTGCGTCCCGTTCAGCCCACAGGCTGAGCAAGCTCTCAGCCTCCCACGCACACTGCTGGAGCCCACTCTATATGGATGCCCTGGTGGCCAGTACGCTCCCCAGGGAATTTAGATTTCGTGATGTTTATTGTAGCTTTTTGTCATATGGTATGTTTTCAGTCAGTAGATACTACACTAATGACTCCTGTCATAGATGTCTGTGAATTTTTTTTTTCTTGAGACAGGGTCTCACTCTGTTGCCCAGGCTGGATTGCTCCCTGCACCCTCAAACTCCTGGGCCCAAGCAATTCTCTGCCTTAGCCTCCCAGGTAACTGGGACTATAGGTACAAGCCACCATACCCAGCTAATTTTTCTGTTTTTTTGCAGATACAAGTAAGTCTTGCTATGTTGGTCAGGCTGGTCTTGAGCTCCTGGTCACAAGCAGTCCCCTGGCCTCAGCCTCCCAGAATGCTGGGATTACAGATGAGCCATAGCACCTGGCCAGAGGTTTTCATGTTAAAAATTAATCCAGTTATTTGAAGATTGGAAACCATTGTCTGCAGCAATCAATGACTGTGCTGACTGTCCAAAAGAACTTTCTGCAATAATGGAAATGCCTCTTGCATTATCCAGTACAGGAGGCATTGGCCACCTGCAGTGCCTGAGGGCTCGAAAATGACTCCTGAGACTGAGGAACTGGACATTAATTTTGTTTGATTTTAATTAATTTAAATAGCCCTGTGTGGCAGAAGCTACTACATGTGTGTTGAACATGAACACCACAGATCTGTAGCACCTCCCATCAGTGATGTTCTGAATGCCATAGTCCATTGCCAAGCTGCTTCTGCCCCACCTCCTCCCACGAATGTGGGTACTTACCAGGCCCTCTGCTTCTCAGGTGCCCCTATTCCTGAAGGTCCTTTAGGCCAAGAGAGGAGATTTTTCATAGATGCTTAAAAAATGATTTTGAAAACCTTTCCTAATTATAGAAATAAAAGGAATGATAGTTTATAATTTTCTTTATGCTACCATCCAATTCTCAAGGGCCTTGAAGAGATTTCTGTATACCTGGGACACATAAGCTCGTCATTTTCATATTCAGTTTGTTTCAAATTTTATATAGAATGATTCCTTCTTCCTTCCTGCCTCCCTTCCTCCCTCCCTTCCTTCCCTTCTTTCCTTCATTGCCCAGGCCAGAGTGCCCTGGCTTCAGTCTATACCATAGCACCTCAAACTCTGGAGCTCAAGTGATCCTCCTGCCTCAGTCTCCCAATTAGCCAGGCATCCACCAAAACACCTGGCTTTTTTTTTTTTAAGCAGAGGTGAGGTCTCACTGTTGTTCAGGCTGGTCTCAAACTCCTGAGCTCAAGGAATACTCCTCCCTCAGCATCCCAGAGTGCTGGGATTACAGGTATGAGTCACCACACCTGGCCAATGACCTTTCTTTAAAAGATGGCTATTTTATTCTTTTTTTTTTTTTAAGACAGGGCCTCAAGATGTTGCCCTGGGTAGAGTGCTGTGGCATCACAGCTCACAGCAACCTCCAACTCCTGGGCTCAAGCAATTCTCCTGCCTCTGCCTCCCAGGTAGCTGGGACTACAGGCACCTGCTACAACGCCCGGCTATTTTTTGGTTGCAGCGGTCATTGTTGTTTGGCGGGCCCGGGCTGGACTCGAACCCGCCAGCTCTGGTGTATATAGCTGGTGCCTTAGCCTCTTGAGCCACAGGTGCTGAGCCAAAAGGTAGTTATTTTGGTCTAATGTGGTGGCTCAAACCGATAATCCTGAGACAGGAATTCAAGACTGGCCTAAGCAAGAACAAGATCCTTTCTGTAAGGAAAATTAAAAAATTGGCTGGGCATTGTAGCAGACGCCTACAGGCTCAGCTACTTGGGAGGCTGAGGCAGGAGGATCACTTGAGCCCAGGAGTTTGAAGCTAGTGTGAGCTAGCCTGATGCCATGGCACTCCAGTGGGGGGAACAGAACAAAACTCTGTCTCAAACAAACAAACAAACAAACAAATGGCTATTTGATAGGCAGAGTGGCTATGAATAATTATTAGAAACTCAGACCAAAATCTTAATTCTAGGGCTCTTATTATGAAAGAAACTTCTCTTTTGTTTTCCTGATAATTATGAGGGGTAATCAAATGATCTCCCTTCTCTAAAATACTCTGAAACAATACAGTCCATAGCACTTTACAAGTTATATATCTTTCTCATGCCTTGAGCTCTTTTAAGACTCACTAGCAATGTATGTTATAATGGCTTCTGGTAAGGTAAGAAAATCATGTGAGGATAACCAGGTATCTCTGAACCTAAACTCCTCCTTTCATATTTACGTCATGGTTGATATTCATTACGAACATAGTGCTGGTTGGATTGCCAGGTAATTCTCTTCATTACTTTTCCCAAAATATTCTGGTCCTAAGTGCAGGAAGTCGGAGGGAAGCAGTAGCTTATAGAATCGAAAAACTCAAGTGGCCAGAGTTCTTTGGGAACTCGTACTTGAGGAGTTCCCAGCAAAATAATAAATACCTTTCCTGGACTGGCCTGGAAAGGGTCCTTCTACTGAGGTCTTTCTGTCGAGGAAGGCTTTATCCCACGTGTCCCCCAGACCTGACGACTGTCTCACTGTTCTGCTGTTCCCTCACTTCCCTACCTTTTCTGCTTTGAGGCCAAAGGTTTGGAGGTTTCTTTAAATGTCTGACCCAGAGTGAGAAGAAAGTTTCAGTTGCTGAGCCAAGATGCCCAAATGTGTCCTCTGGCCTCGTACTGGGCTCCACTGTGTGTCAGCAGGGGAGGGGGCGTAAAGGCTACTGGGTGGGGGCCAAAGGGTCTAAATCCTCAGCTTGATGATAAGGAAACATCGATGGCTGTGTCATGGTCGCATTGTGTAGGGCAGGACTGTTTCACCCTTCATGCTCTTTCATAAATGGTCACAGACAGAAAAATCCACAGGCAGTTCTTTCTGACATTAAAATTTGAGGACATCTCTTCTAATAGCACTTTGCTGTGTCCATCCCATTTTAATTAAACACATCCCTGCACTGGCTGCCAATCTCCGTCATAAAGGAGATCCTTGGGCTGCTCTGGTCTTTGGCGATGGTGGGGTGTGTATGTGTGTGTGTGTTAGGGATAGATCAGGAAGGGGAGATGGGGAGGAGTGGAGCACAGAGACAAAGCCAGCAGCAAAGAGAGTTGACATTTGCAAATATAAAATACTCTTCTATTAATAAACTTGCCTCCCTTTCTATTCTATAGAAAGAATAAAAATGGAAACATAGAATTTCCTCAGCCCCCAGGAAGAATAACGGTCCTTGCTGGGTACTCCCACCTCCTTTGTAGATGATAGGAAGGAAGAGGCATAAACCGGGGACCTCCTCCCCAAGTCTTTGGGAAAGGATCTAAAAGAAATCACACTGAGTCTTATGGTTCCCCTTCTCCTTCTTCCTGGGCCGTGCCTGGCACCCCTCCTCCCCCAGCACCTGAGCAGCTGTGGGTGGCTCTTCTCACGACGAGGATGAGCTCCTTCTCCTTGATAGATCTGTATAGAAAAAAATAACGAGCCGTGCTGCTCAATCTCAAATCTTTCTAGTGCAGTTGGTGTAGCCACATAACTTCTTAACCTTCACGTGTCCATTTTATATATTTTCATTCTGGAATCTGAAATTATACCAAATTATTGTGTCTTCTACATTTTCCTTTATGCTGTTTGATGCTAAAGATATTTCTTTGATTAGAATATCTTCGCCTGCAAGCTTCTGATCTTCCTTGTAGGAAATGAGCACAAGGCTAAGCATCTGTCAGCAAACTTCGGATTGCTGGATGTTTTAGTAGTTGCCTTCAAACGTAGTAATGAGGTTGCAGGTTTGATGAAATGCTTATGAATTGCGGTTTTAGGGAAATCAACCTCTCCATTTTCGATATTGAATTCCAAATTACTATGTATTAACACATCTGTCTCCTGCCTTTTTCTTTCAGTACCTACTAGAAATGAAAAGCCTAATCCTACCCCCAGAACACATCCTGAAGAGAGGAGACAGTGAAGCAATAGCGTACGCCTTCTTTCATCTGGCGCACTGGAAGAGGGTGGAAGGGGCTTTGAATCTTTTACACTGTACGTGGGAAGGCAGTAAGTAATTTTCTTTCTTTGAAACACTTCTTATGAGCATGAAAAGACGGTAAAGTCTTTTTGCCCTGAGCATTTGTGATAAATACTGAAGATTTACATATAGATGGCTCTTGTTTTCTGTGATTCCCTGAACGGAGACAGCTAATGACTTAGGCTCTCTCACTTCCTGGTGCGTATGATTGTGCCACCACCACAGCCCAGAAAAGTAAGTTTATGCAACAGATGGGGTGACTCTGGGCTGTCCGGCAGAGGAGCCCTCCACCACCCTGAAGCCCTCCTTGAGACTCAGATGACCCTACTGCAATATGGTAATCTTTGCTTTGCTACGGGGGTTAGGCCTTGTGCCGGACTCCAGTTACACCTTTCTATGGCCTTTATGGGAGGGCTGGCTGAGAGCCACAGTTATCCTCCCTGGGACCTAGGTTAGCTACACATGAAGTCGTAGCATTTATATTTCAAAACAAGAGCAGCGGGCACTGAACTCTTGGTGTTTGGTATGACATGTAGCATTTGTGTGTGAATGGATAAATGCCTGGTAGATAGATGTGGGGATAAAAAAGTCTGAGTAGCTCAAGGAGTAGGGTGCCGGCCCCATTTACCGAAGGTGGTGGGTTCAAACCTGGCCCCAGCCAAAAACTGCAACAACAACAACAACAACAAAAAATCTGAGTACATGCTCTTTATAAATAGTATCATTCTGTGTATGGAGAAGAGGCTGCCGTGGTAGATGAGGCATCCTCACATGGCAGCTGCTGGGTGATTTTCAGAAGGGAGAGGTCATGGGGTGGAGGGGTCATGCATAACCTTATGAGTCAGATGAGAGCTGAACCAGGCCTTGAGGAACTAGGACAGGGTCATAAGCAAGGCCACTGTGTGAAGAAATGTAAGAGGTGGGGCCGTCTGGGAGGATGTAGATTAAGGGAAAAAGCCCAAGACTATAGATTATTAGACAACATGTGCGTTGACACTGCAGCAAAACAAGTACAGCATGTAGATGGGGTTTGCCCCCCTTTCAGGAGGAAGAGAAACAGTTTTCTGATAAGTTTTTCCTAGTTCACCCCTACTCTGTCTGAGCAGCTTCACAAACGTCCTTAATCCTTTCACTCTGTTTATCTTTGCTGCTTCCATTTTCATTCTGATAATCTTCTGCTCCTCCCTTTTCCTGCCCTTCCCTAACCCAACAGGAATCCAAGTTGGTGCAGGAAGGGAGGTGGAGGGAGCAGAGTGGATGGGGTGAAAATAAGCTGACGGAGACGGAACTCCAAGTTGACTGAGCGTTTTTTGTTTAGTTTTGAAAATATTTCTTTCTTTTTTTTTTTTTTTTTGAGACAGAGCCTCAAGCTGTCCCCCTGGGTAGAGTGCCGTGGCATTACAGCTCACAGCAACCTCCAACTCCTGGGCTCAAGCAAGTCTCCTGCCTCTGCCTCCCAAGTAGCTGGGACCACAGGCGCCCGCCACAACACCTGGCTATTTTTTGGTTGCAGCCGTCATTGTTGTTTTGGCAGGTCCGGGCTAGGGATTTGAACCCGCCACCTTAGGTGTACGTGGCTGGCGCCTTAGCCGGTTGAGCTATAGGCGCCGAGCCGAAAATATTTCTTCAGAAAATTAATAGTGGGTCTACCTATTTGGTTTACTGTGTGTAACTTGAAGCATGTCGATTTGATCGACGTCAGCCCCACTGGTTCAGTGCACTGATGTACTCCAGGCAGAGGTGGGGAGTCTGCAGCCTCAAGGCCACATGTGGCCTTCCATGTCCTCAGCTGCAGCCCTTCACCTGAAAGCAAGCTTCACAAAACAAATCCCTTTAGCAAAAGGATTTGTTCTGTACAATTTAGATTCAGTCAAAAGGCGACACTCAGGGATCTAGAAGGCCACATGTGGCTCCAAGTCACCCCAACTCGTGCCACTCGCCTCACTTGTGCCAGGTGGGCTGTGTGTGGGCCTGTGCACAGTCCCCTCTGGCTTGGGCTTCCTGTTGCACGGAAGGTTTCTAGCTGAATGAGACAAAGGGAAGTTTTGTGTAAGCATGAGAAAGAGGCAGAAAAGCCCAGCAGGATTGAACATGAAAGGCCTCACCTAGTATTAGTTGTGGGAAAATTAAACGGGCAAATCGGTTTACCAAATAAGAAAATATTTGTAAGCTGTCATCTTGGAAATAATAATAGAGGAAGCTTATCAGTTGGACCTGATTAATGAGAAAGTCACCCATCCAATGCAAAGGATCACAAAAGGGACAGGGAAGGGGTGTCAAGACATGGTGTTAGGAATGACATCACCATAAAAAATTAAAATCCTGTGAGGAGTACCTGGAAATTCTGTTTGGAAATTAGTCAGTCATTCTTGTAATCAGATAACAACGAGGCAGATCCCCTGCTCAGTTGGAAGGATAATGAGCTGAGAGAGATGTGAAGTGATGCAGAGAGCTGCAAAGTCAAGCAGGGGCGTAGTAGGAGGAAAGTAATTTCTTCAAATTAGATTGGCAGAATGCTTTATTAGGATAAAAAGAGAGTGCAGATTTTTAGACATAACCCAGCAGACCAGGGCAATCAAGTGCCTATAGGAAAAGGATGCTTTTCATTTAATCCTTGCAAATCAATAGGAACCACTCTGGGGAAATGTTTGTGAAAATCAGGTAATTGTGATCCCAGCCAAAATCAGTTATAGTGCCCGTCCCTTTTCAAAAAGAGAGCCATGGCATTCAATTGTAGAAAGGAGAATTGCAGAGGTATTTACTAACGCTTGGGAAAGCCAAGAACCTTGAAGAATGTTTGCATCACAGGGTGTTTACAGAGGGTTTTCATTTACATCATTTCACTAACGCCTCTCCATGATGTTCAAAATTTAGGCAGGTCAGAGATAGCCATCTCAGTTTTCCCAGAGAGGAAACAGATTCATTGAGATCAGTGACTTGCTGAAGGTCCTGCAGCCACTGTTGATAGAGACAGGATGTAAACCCACATTCACTTTGCCTTCTCTGCACTGTATAGATTAAGGAGACGAGGATCAGTCGTCTCTAAAACATTTGCTCAGAAGCCCGTGACGTAAATTTATGTCACGTCTTACAGGCTGTGGTATACTTATCACACCTGGTCTCTTTCTAGTGATTAAAAAGTTAAATCATCCTATATAAAATAATATTTTCTTATTTAATATCGACTTAAACATTTTAAATAGAGAACAAGACCAATTTTATAAAATACATACTATATAGTTTACTTACATAATAAGGAGGGAGACTGGAAATAAATACACTTGTTTTAAGTGGTTACTAATGAATTGTAACTGATTTCTCTTTGTTATTCATATTTGTATTTTTCAAATTTTCTGCCACAGCATATATATATTTTCTATAAGCATAAATATGTATACATACTTAGAAAAATAATCTTCCATTACCTTTCTATAGGTCCTTTTTAAAAAAACAAACAAACAAAAAAATTTGTCAAGGAATTTAGAAGAATTACCCGTCCAACCCCAGACAATCGTATGCACTCTTTTTTGACATCATTTTTAGAACTGTGTCCAGTCTAAGTGGAGTTTCAGAGCTCTGGATTTTAAACCAGAAGGCTTGGATTAGAATCCCATCTCAGCTATTTATAGTAGCATTCACTTAATTTACCTGGTTTTGGGAAACTATGAAGCATAGATGATCTTGAACGCCATACTCTGCCCACCCCAGGTGACTGGCTGGGGGTAGCTGTTGAGCTGTTGGCCAGGATTGCCTGCGCCCCAGCAGAGGAGTCTGCACTTCCCCCCACACACCACTTGGTGGTGCCTCTTGACATCCCAGCCTCAGGATGTTTTCTCCTTGGAATCATTCTTTTCCTCATTCTGACATCTGAGGCCATTCCCCAACTTCCTTCCCACTTCCCTTTTTCTTTAGAGAGAGAATTACGAGATAAAGGTAACAGTATCTAATTTCACCAGTTTCCACATTAAAAATGATTACTAGTCAATTTATCTTTTAAAGATGAAAACAGTTCTGTCAAAAGTCTTGGTAAGGGGGCAGGAGTGGAGGTGTATTTTGTTTTGGTTTTAAATGAATTTATTATGTTGGTTATTAGTCATCTTTAATTAGTAGAATTAAGTGAATTTTCTACCAGTCAAGCTGGAAAAACTCCCATTTTTGATAAAACACTTAAGTCCAGCTGATGCATGGAAGATTTTGTTTGGGTTTGAAACATATGGTGGTTTAAGAAAAAAAACCCGAAATCCTCAACCACAAATACATCAGCATTTCAAAGGTTTCCAAAATGTTTGATTCATCACTGTCCCAGCCTCTGAGATTACACATTATGTTCCTCAAAGTCAAGATAATTAACAAAGGGCAAAAGTTTTAATTTTTAAGATTGTATAGTATGTTTCTTAGTTCATTTTGCAGCTGCCACCTTATCTGAATTATATTTATTTTGAACACTGTAGGTTCTGGTTAGCCTCACACATGCATGCCACTGCGAGAATGAGTTGAATATAAAAAACACAGGAATAAAGGGTCTCATTTGAACTGGTCTTATTCATAATGATATTGTCCCTTATGGGGCCCTGTTTTAAATGGCACATCTTCTGTTTTTACCTGTATCAAATAGTGGTGTGGCCTTATCTCCCACTGACCTTGATCTTTTCAAGGCTCTGTTTTGGCTACATTTATTTTATGAAGCAGGGTTGCCTGCTGACCGCAACTGTGAACTTTAATTTTCTAGTTCTGTGTATCAGAAGACTAGTCTGCCATGGGGTGAATTACTTAGCTTTTCTTTGTTTCCATTTTTCCTGTTTGACCAAGTAAGACTCTTTATTTTCTTTTTGGAGATTTTTTTTCCCCCCAAAGAATCTACTAAATAATGTATAAGATTTGAATGTGGCGTTTTTTAGGGGGACTAAGGCAGAGTATTTATATTTCCCCTTTGAGAGGAGAAAATGGCCCATTGTTGTAGCATAGGATGAGATTATGATTCTAATGTATTCTCTTTGAACCTGATGGCAAATGCCTCGTACTGTGAGATGTGGTTCTAGGGGCATTTCCTCTAACCAAATCTTTCCTCCACCTTTTGGACTACTAAAGAGAAACCACCTCCCAGTAGATCCAGGCTGAATTTTATAATTTGGGAGAAAGCAATCAATGATCAGTGAGGTCTCTAGCTGTAGAGTCATAGCTAATATCCTAATAGCCAGTCCCCAGATACTGAGCAATGCTTCCCCACCTAGTGGAGCCAGCTCGCTTCTTTCGGGTACTATCTTAATGACTGGCTCTGATATGGATCCTCCTGCATTTTTAAAGGAAAATTCTGTCTCTGTCTGGCTGTGCATTAATTCATTGATTAGTTTACTCAATGGACATTATTGAGCATCTCCTTTGTGCTAAGCATTGTGGTGGGGGTACCAAGATAAATAAGATTCTGAAGTGCTTTGAGAGAAATATCAATGTGTGTGTTCACTATATATAAGCAGCATACATATTTAGTATGGTATAGACAGCACAGATATAAGCCGTGCTATCATGAAAGCAGGAACAGTGGTAGAATACGAGGGTCATTAACAAGTCACTGAGTCTGCTGTAAAACCCTGAGAATTTCTTTTCACAATTGGAGTGTTGCATCATTTGATCCAATCAGAGGAAAGTGGTTTTCCCAAGGCCGCACAACTAGATGGTGAAAGAACGTTGACCACACCTTGCCTTTTGACTTTTGAATTTTCTCCATTGCTACATCTAGATCCCTGCTAGCGATGAGTGGCCTTCATGGCCTGTTACTTGCATTGCAGTCAAAAATGAGAACATAAAATTTGCAATAAAATTTGTTGTTTTCTGTTCTAATAATTTGCATTTCTAATTGTTCATAAGTGAGCAGCATTTTTACTCACAAGCTACAGTGTGACCTGATAGAGCAGTGGTTCTCAACCTTCCTAATGCCGCCACCCTTTAATACAGTTCCCGTGGATGGTGACCAACAGGTTGAGAACCGCTGTGATAGAGAAAGTAGGAATGTGAGGTCTAGTGGGGGGAAGGAGTGGGGGGTAAAGAAGAACCTTCATTGAGCCACCAAGCATGGTTGGTCTCTACTGTCACACTTAGTCCCTTTACCAGCCTTGTGAGGTCCATGGTATTCTCATGTTATAATCAAAGAGATTGGGACACACCAAAACTCAGATGCTTCTTAACCTAACCAGGAACAGTGGTAGAATATGAGGGTCCTACTCATCCTTTTAGCCACCATCTCTGCTAACCCCCTGGTGGATACGCACAGCACCACCACTCTCTCCTTAGAGGCACTCATCGTAGTAGAAATTTTACACTTACTTTTGTGATTATTGGATCATGTTCCTTGCCTTTGGCAGTGAGCTTCATGACTACTGGGGCAATGTATACTTGGCTCACCCTTGTATCTTTATTACATATAAAGGCACTCACATTTTGGTGAATGACTGATTGAGTGAGGTAGAGCTAGTATTCAAACTCAGTTCTCTTTATTACAAATAACTTGTATAAAGTTCTCTGAGATACTCTTTGAAAAGTATCACGGACAGATAAAATATCAAAAATTACCTTTCATTCCTATCTATGTAATCACTAGGGTGAGAGGTCATGAGAAATAGTTGGGAGGATTAATTTACTGGTGTAATTCATCCTTCTGTCCAGCCTGGGGTTCTGTTGAGGCTTTCCCCAGTGTGGGTGGAGAGAGTCTCTGATGAGGCATCACCCACAGGCTTGGGGCCTAGAAAGCATGTCTGGTCAGGGTAGAAGGAGACAGTGGCATGCCTCAGACACTAATTGTGGGAGCCACGATGTGGTCATGAACTAGTTCCTAGTTTCAACGTGACCCTTCAACAAAGGCACAACCAAAATCAAAGTAGGGGAAGGCATAGCACACAAAGGAAAAGGTAGGGATGTCATCTGTATCCCTTGTATTAACTCTGAATGGCCCAGCCCTCTTGTTTTGTTTTTACCAAATACACGTATATTTTTAATTCCTCTAAAATGTGTGCTGTCTTAGGCAAAGGTTTTTAGGAGGTCTGCACTCATTCACAAAACAGGATTTGTTCAAATGACCTTTTACCATTCTTATTTGTACTGCCAAATCAGTAGATTCTTAAAACTTGGACTTGCAAAATTTCTGGACACTTAGCTAAAGCCACGTAGCTTTCATGGAGCAGTTGCGTGTCTTAGCAGCACAAGGGCCCAGGAGGTGGGAGGTGAAGCTGGCAAGGCTTATGCAGCGCCTCTTCCCGGCTCCCCGCACACCTCCCCTGCTTATCTCATACTTTTCTGGACCCTGCACAGCAGGGTGGGTAAAGGATAGAATTGCAAGCAGAAATTGTATTTGCTTTTGTTTAGTGAAGCCAAAGATCTTAATATTATTTTATGAACTCAATGTAAATGACAACTGACATGAGAAAGAAAGATTTTAAGAGCACCATAAGCATCTTTACAATCCTGGGTGGAGGGCAATCCAGGAAATGTGTGTACAGCCCTTTTGAAGCTGTATATAATCAGTGTTTCCACACTCCAGAAACAAGAAAAGGCCAGAACCAATTAGAAGAAGAAAAAGACTAAGTTGATGCACAAAATCCTGTATGCATGCCAAATACTGGAGTAAAAACATTTAGCATTTGACTGAAAAGACACCAACCAACCATTAGATTTCTATGGTTGAACACTCTCAAGATCTCGCACTCCTCTATTTCATTTAAAAAAATTGTTCCCTGAAGTGTACAATGACTTCAATTTTGAATAAAATTTAGCATTCAAATTTATAGCCAGTTTGAAAACTGAGGGTTTATTTATATCATGTGACCCTGAACAGATTCTTAATTACAACAGTCTTCGGCACATGGAGTATCTGGATTTCAAAAAGAAAAAAGAAACAACTTCCCACGTAGGTTTCTCCACATTTTTCAGATGCTTTCATAGCAGCCATCCTTTATGGGAAATGGTATTAAAATCCTGCCGTGCTGTAGTTTAAATTTAAATTCAATGCTTCCCAGAAGAGATTTTAGTGTATTCTATAAAAGGCACTAAAAGGTCTGTTTTTGTTTTTGCGAAGGTTTTTTTGTTCTCTTGAAAGTCTAATTCTAATGAGCGAGAGATTTGGTTCCTGCCAGTGATCTTTGTGTGTTAACAACCTGTGGAAGGAACATCCCTCTTGCTTGTTCTCACGGGCAAAAGTCATCTTTGTTTGCATGAAAGCAAAGGTCTGATTGAACAAGGGTGAGCCTTTCATTTTAAGAAGAGTTAAAGTCTGGGGGTGTTTTTAATGTTTTAATCTCTGTTTAAGAGGTTTCTGTTACGAGAGGAAAATTGATAACATTTTTACCTCAGCAAACTGCCAGCAAACTGGCTCTGCTCTAATCCCACATTTATAGTGATTTATATTCTCCGTGGCAATGTGCTGTAACCTCAGAGTGATACCACTGTGGTGTAGATGGACTGCATTCCAAATGCTGGGATCACATACATAATGTTTTTACTTTTAAATAATATTCAGACACCAGAATAAATACCATATGTGCACTGATGCTGGTTACAATGGGACCTTGTCATTTCTCATGAGGGAGAACATTCTTTGTTTCTGATTCCTGTTTGAAATAAGTACACAAAAGATAAATATGTACATTGACAGCGTTTTGAGAAGCTTTGGTAATTACACAGCTGAGGATAGAGCTACGACTCCCCAAAATGTATCATTTAAAACTAAAAGTATTGCTGTGTGTTGCCACCATTCCTCACTGACGTACACGAAGGCAAGGATTGTTATCTGACATTCCCAGGGCAGGGCCTAGCTTATATATTTTATGTCTACAGCATGCTGTAGTTAAAGGACATCTGTGGAAGAAAAATTACCTCCATGAGCAGTGTTCATAGAACAGTGAGACTAACACGCCGATGACATTGGAACAGGAAGAATAACACACTTGATAATGGGAAAGGATGGATTGATTGGAAAGTCATAATTCAGTGTGAGGCCTGATGTCATCTGATGCCACAAAAGCAGAATTTAGGTGGCCTAATATCATCAAAATACAGATAATCAATCTCTCCTGATGCATGTTTCCCCACAAGATATTGAAGATTTAAAAGTTTCATAAAGTTCAGAAATACCTCCTAACTCAGGCATTTTTAGATTTTTATTTTTATCCATCTTGATTGGAATTCTAATCCACTTCAACATACTTTTTGAATAGACGTGGTAGAATGTCTTTCATATTTGTACATCTGTAACACACTCCAACAAGTCAATTCACATTTGTTTTTTGGGGAGGCATTTCAGTCCGGGTTTGCACTGTTACCATTGGTTCATCTATGTCGGATTAGTGCCTATCATATTTTCATAATATTTTGCAGATGAGGAAACCCTGGGCACTGATATCAATGGCTTCCTTGCCCCGCTTTATCCCCACCCAGAATATGTAGAGTGAGATTAATGTGTGAGTAACACATCCCAGTTTATCTCTGACATTTTACCCGGCATGTGACCTAGCTGGGTGAGGCTCCCCTCCTTTGTAGAAGTGTACTCTGTAATAAAACTGCTCAAAAGTCCCTCTATGAAGATGGGTAGTTGTGAGACAAATACTGAACATATTGGACGTACCTAACATGCTGTCTCTCCTTTTCAGCTTTTCGAATGATCCCTTATCCCTTGGAAAAGGGGCACCTATTTTATCCTTACCCAATCTGTACAGAAACAGCAGACCGAGAGCTGCTTCCATGTAAGTCTCCTGTCCTTCAGCCGGTAAGGCTGATGTGACAAAAGGTGGGGATGGGGAGAGTTGGGAATGATCAATGTTTATCATGTTCCTGGTCTTTTATTACTTTTCTCCCAACCCCTGTCCTTATTTGATAGCGTATGTATTAAAGTGAATTATGTGAGTGGGTTTGGCTTCCTGTTCCTCCAAGCCTCTCCAAATTCATCAGAGGGAAAGATGCCAAAGGACTGCACTTTAGATGAAGAAGCCTCATGGGCTGATTGGCCTGACTACAGGGAACCCTGGTTTGGGGCTGCTCTTTGCTGGACTGGCCCATCATGAGGGCTCCGCCTGGGCTCTCCAGGTGGTCGGACAGGGTCTGCACAGAGTAGAGTTTGGAGAGGAAGTGCTGACTTGCGAGGGAGCTGCAGTGAGTCAAGGACAGTAGGACAGCACCAGTGGCAGAGGCGGCAGCGTGGGGCAGGGTGGGGGAGCGCAGTGATGCAGCGCTCTGGGCCAGAGGGGTTTCCCCTGAGTGCCTTGTGGCTCCACCAGGGAGCTCATGTAGCATGTGCCGGGCACACGTGCAGTCTCAGCACTGTATAAAAGCACACAAAGGAAAACCCTGCCCTCGAGTACCTTACAAGCTAGCAGGCTGATGGCCCGTACCACATGTGGAAAATATTATTTTGGTTTACTGTAATATAACATTGTTTTGACAATGCAGGGTAAATAGTTATTATCAAATCATACTGCGTACAAGGATCATGTCCAGGCTCTTCATGTGGCTCTGACTTAGGACATACTTTCCTCCCTCAGATAATAAGCTCCAAGTTTTGGCTATTCTGTCATCCTGTCCTTTCTCCTGCCGCCACCACCCGCCTTTCACCAGCCCCAGTTATATCAATATCTTCTCATAGCTGTTACATATATACACACTTTGACCAGAGGAAAAGTGTAACTTTGGAGCCCTGGGTGCATAGTAAATTTTCAAATGCCAGCGGTATTGAACCAGTCATAAATCTCCAACACGGTGGATCTAGGTGCAAAACGAACTTGCTGTCATCAGACTGAAGTAGCAGGAGGCACCTGACCTGTTTCCTTGCCAGCCAGACCCAGTGTGAGGTTTGTTACTCTAGGGAACTGGGAGATCTCAGTGGTGTATTCCTCGTTGTCCAAGTTTTATTGTAAAATAGGGTCCCGTGCTCCCACACGACATTAGATTTGATTTCAGAAATTTTTGCTATGGGCCCTCCGTGTTCCTTTTGAGTCCTCCTTCAGGGAGATCCTTGTTAAACTCTCAGTTTTCTGGTGAGAAAAGCAGTTTTCTGAAAAGTACCGTGGTTTTAAATGTTTTAATTGTGTCCAATTAAGTTTCCATGGGGATAGTTTAGTTATTAGAACAAGATTACAGTCCTTAAAGGAAATTTTATAGGGGTAATCTTTATAATCCTGAAATAGAAAATTATGGTCCATGTTTATTTAATTGAATGCAGTAGTGCAAGTCTGATCTCCCTCCAAAATCTTTTTTTGGTTGGTTGTTAAGGATGAGGATATGAAGAGGGTGGATTGTTTTAAATGCTACCTATATTCTGTACGTTGAAAGTATAAATATTGCCACATTGGCCCCTGAGTGAAACATGTTTGAATGTTAGCAGGCTGACTTACCTGGGTTCCAGTGGGCTTGCAGGCTCTCTGTCCTCCATTTTCGGCAGTGTGCATTGCTGTTAGAACTCTGATAATAAGAGTTAGAGGAAAAGCCTTCAGCTCTTGTATTTCCTGAGGAGAATGAGTGGAATCCTTTGCTTAGAGCAGTGATATTGCTCACCTGCAGTGTCATAAGCACACCCCAGATCCCCTGGCAGATGGCTCTTTCTCCTCTGTGCAAGCCAGCCCTAGGTCCCCTGGTCTGCAGCCCTATCCACCCAGACCGTCACAGGCAGCCACATGGTGAGCAGAAAGAAGGAACCAATTCTCTTGGCTTTTGTACTACGGCTTTTTGGTTTGTCTCAAACCCAGTGGCTGAAGTGGGGAAGTTATGAGAGGGACTCTAAAGAGTGCTGGCTTTTTTTTTTTACAGTGATTTTTGGAAGTATATTTATCATCAAGTGTCTCCTACAATTGCAGATAACCCTAGCCACCTTGCCCTTCACCCTTTGTGAGTTGAATAGGCCAGCATGCGAGGTCCTTGCTAAATGTCTCTCTATCAGGGCGGCACCCTCCACTGATAGACTTAGAGTGTGCCAGGAAAAAATACAAGATAAACTGACATCATCTTATTATATTGACTTAAAGTAAGAAAGCACTTTAATCTTTGAGAAACAGGCAAATTTGGGGCAACTTTATATAATTACATAGTTGTTAAACAGTTTTATGTTGTGTTAAGTCAAATGCTTATTTAATTGTTTAAAAAAATACCAGAGGGTGAAAATGTAGATATGGGATTTTTTCAATAAACTTGATGTGGGGTTTTCCAGGTTTTGTGCAATAAACACGTGCTTTATAATTTGCATAAAAGTTTGTGGGGTTTTTTGTTTGTTTGTTTGTTTATTATTTGTGTTTGCTTTCGAGAAATGAAAACTATACCATAGGGACAGATGGTGCTATTGTCCCTGCCCACTTACCTGTGACGTCCCCAAATTAGCCCATCATGCCTCAAATCCATCATGAACATGGACTTGAGCACCAGGGCCGGGCAGATGCTGGCTGTGGTTTGTCAAGTGCCCCACCCTTTTCATCCAGCAGGCTTTAGGCTCTTTTTCCAAAGCTCTGAAGAATCAATCCCACCACAGAGAAGTTCCCTAAGAAGGCGTTTCACTCCAGCCCTGACATCTCCCTTTTGTCATCTCCACAGCTTTCCACGAAGTCTCAGTTTACCCAAAGAAGGAGCTTCCCTTCTTTATCCTCTTCACTGCGGGATTGTGTTCCTTCACAGCCATGCTGGCCCTCCTGACACACCAGTTCCCGGAACTCATGGGGGTCTTCGCAAAAGCTGTGAGTGTTTACCCAGAGGGAAGCCTCAGGGGTTGGACAGGGACAGCGGAGGAAGACACAGGAAAGAAGGGGACGGTCATGCAGAAGTGGATATGAACCTCTGTGCTCACTGTTGAATTTCCATTATCATCAGTGAAATCGGAAGTTTAAGGGTCAAGTGAGAAAGTGTAGGCTGTCAGTGCTTGCCTGGTCTCATTTCAGAAAACAAATTCTCATCAGTTTCTGAAAGTTGTATGAGGTCCAAAAAGATGAAATAATTTAGGGTATCCTACAAATGAAAAATGTGTGGGAAATTATTCAGTTTTGTATCAGTCAAATGACATTATTTCTCATCTGTGGATATGTGGGTCTTTCCTTCATGAAGGATAAGATTTACATTTTCAAAGAGTGTTGAAATATATTTTTTTTAATGGCTACAAACCCTTGGCTTGTTTAGGGAATGAATGGAGAGGGTGTAAAAGGCTCGTAGTATTAAGAAGCCAACTGCCATGTTTACTTTTAGAAATATGGAAATCCATTGTGAGTCTTTAAGGAGGTTGAGGAGAGCAGCTTTAATAAGAAAATCCATCTGCACTGACAACCAAGACCCATTGTTTCTTGGCTGAAAATTTACCATTTCAACCTGTGAGTGTGGCAAGGATAAGTTTGCTGAGTTTGTCACAGATGAGTTTCAAACAGGAGGAATAAGGAAAAGAGTGTCAGTTGTTCCCCCTGGAACTCCATCCAGATTTAAAGGCAAGTAGAATCAGAAAGGATGATTTCTAACTTGGCTGGGTTGATTTAATCCCTTTCCAGATGATTGACATTTTCTGCTAGGCAGAGTTCAGGGACTGGAATTGCATGAGTATTTTCAGGCACAACGGAGATGAACTGGAGGTCCCACCAGCACCTCCATCTCAACATCTCCCAAACTGAATTCATCACTCTTCTTCCCCATCACCAAAATTTCTCTTCCTCCTGTATCTGATATCCACCAGTGGCCCTGCCGCCCACCCAGTTACTCAAACCAGAAACCCAGCAACCCTCCCAAACCCTTCCCTCTTTCACTCCGACCTCACATCTGTCTCAGCCTTTTCTGTCTTTTGGTTCTAACCTACTAAGCAACTAGGCATTCAGTATGTGTGATTCACCTCTCCTTTCCTCCTCCTCTCCCCACCGCATCTCTCTTAGTTTAGGTTCTTCTAGAGTTCTGCCGTGGACTAACTGCTCTCCTTGCTTTCAGTCTGATCCTCCTCCAATCTTTCTTTCTAATTGCCCAGCTGGGCATGACACTGCCCTGCTTGAATTTCTCCAGCAGTTTCCCACCCACTTCAGGACCCAGTCCTAGTTGTTAGCATGGCACCCAATGCCCTTTATGGCCTGGACTGCACTTGTGTCTTTGGCCTCGTCTCTCCCACCTCTCCCACCGACGCCTCTCTTCAGCTGTAGTGACTCACGGATGCACAGGCTCGTGCACGCCTCCTTGCCTTTGCACGTGCTGTCTGCTCCGTGTGGAACACCCTTCGTCATCACCACCCCAGCCGTCCACTCTACACACAGCTCTTCATTCTCTTAGACTCAGCTTTCTTTAAATGTTGCCTAAGCTGAGTTGGGTGTCTCTCTTCTGTGATCCCCAGTATTCCGTGAATAACTATATTATCACATTTATTGTACTGTATTATAATTGCTGGACACTTGTCTGTGCTGTTTAGAATGTGAGCTCCTTGAGAGCAGGACCTCGTCTCCCACATCTCTGCATCCCCAAAACTTTGCACAGTGCCTTGCACATAGTAGGTTTTCAATAAACGATTATGAAGTAAATAAATGGTAGTGATCTCTGCAGAAAGAATCAGTGTAACAAGCAGATGCAGCTTAGCGTTTCTTCTCTTTTGTATTTATAATCATAGCCTCTCAGAGTTGAAAAGGGACCTTAAACAGATTGCCTTTAACAAGGACCCTGAAGGAGATAGACCCACCTGGAATATTTTCAGCCACGAGAGCTTACCTAGTTAACATGGAAGCCCATTTCATTACTGGATCACTCAGAACTCATCCTTCTACGCGTACTACTAAAATCTGCATCCCTTTAATTTCCACTTGTTCTACAGTCTGAGTCCACCTAACAGGTCTGCTTCCTCTTACAGATTTTTGGGACAGCTCATTTATTCCCGGCTACCTCTAACTAACTACCTTCCCTTTTCTCCAGGCATAATGTCTTAAATGTCCTTTAGTCTTCTGTACGTGACATGATTTCTAAACATAGTTATCACCTGAGTTGCCACCATCACTGTGCCTTAGCTTACGGGCCTATCATTATTTTCTTCTGCTCCCTAGTTAACCTATGAGTAAAAGTTTTTACCAAAACTGAGTAAATTAGAATGTAACTTAGGAAAATTTAAAATAAGGATATATTTATAACATGATACAATTACTGTCCCCCCTTTTGGGTCTCCCTAAAGTATTTTTAGAGCATATTTCTGAAGTGTGTCCTTGCTTCAGTCCTCTTCATTAAACTAACTGATAGCGCCTCAAAGGAGTTTAGGATCAGCACAGGGTTCTCAGCCTCTGGGAGGTATATTCACCTGGCCACACTACCAGAGACTCAGAATCCAGAGTCTGTGTTCTTAACAAAGATTCCAGCAGATTCTGAGGATAGGAAATGAGGACCATATTTCCTTTCAAGGACACTGGTTTCAAGAAAGCTAGGCCTTTGAGCAACCATTTCCAGCTGTGGGTTGTGCTGGCTGAGCTGCTGGGGGAACACTTTCCCAGCCCCAGTAGTTTTAGCCTGGCTGTATCTTGGAATCACCGAGGGAGCCTAAAAATTACTAATGCCTGACCCTTCCCCAGGGATGTTGGGGTCTGCATGGGCAGCTGAGTTATCAGATGACAACTCAGACACCCTGCTGACTCGGGTGTGATACAAGGGCTGAGAACCACTGTCTTGAATGAAAGGACTGATTGCCTTGTGGGGGGGAGGGTTGTGCAAGGGAGGGTAGGTCCATCCCAGCTTGGTAGGAAAGGCTGTATGGCTGTCCCTCCAGATGTCACAAAGGAATGGTCGACAGGAGCCCACTCTTTTCACTCAGCGTTTCCAAATGATTGAATGCAATATAGGTCTGCCTTCAGAGTCCTTACATTTTACATACCAAGGTGCGGTAGTTTGGTCATCTACCCCTAATTTTCAAATGTAGTTTAGGTAAGTTTGTTTTGAAATCTCTGTGTGGACAGTGACATTCATCTTGCTCTTCATTAAGGTCTAGCAGTTTGTATAACGTCTGGAGAGACTTCATGGGGAAGGAAGATGGATGGCCTGAATGAGACAAGCCCTGTCTCCCCCTCCCCAGTCTTCTCTGGATCTTCCCCTGGTCACTTCATCAGGCCCCTTCCGAAGCCCCCACCCAGCACACCATAGGTTATCTCACAACTGCCCTAGAGGCTGCCCGCAGCCATTTGCAGCTTGTGAAAGTGGTTTTCTCAGCCCTCTCCTGAGATAATGTCTCTGGGATAATGACTTTTAGTAGATGCAGAGAGATTGCACTGCCACCCCCCAGGCTTCACAGCTTGGGAACTCTCCAGCATGTTTACAGTAGATTCATAGATTCACAGCCAGTAAGGAAGCGCACAGGGAAGTGGGAACCACTGGAAAATAGTGAAAAGAGCGGCTTCCATTGGCTTTTCCCCTCTAATCTAATCTATCTCAGTGATTTAGGACTAACTCTTCCTAGAATGTTTGGTTACCAAGATAAGCTTGCGCATATAAATAAGTTATCGCTCCAAACGCTCCTTACAGAATGTGGGAAGGTCAGCGTGCTGACCCCTCAGCTTTCAAGGGCTCTGTCTCCTCCTCTGGTCTTGCTCCTTCCCTGAGACTGAGCCTCCTGACTTCTGACTCTCATCTTCACTTATAGGCCCTGACCTCTTTGAAGTCTGATATTGATTACAGTGAAATGTCAATTGTCCAATCACTACCGGGCACCTGGAACTTATTCAGATAAGCAGAAGAGTCTCGAATGTTAACGAAGCATGCTAGGAGCCGTGACCTTCTTCCAAGTAAGGGTGGTTCAGCCAGAGGAGGAGCAGGCAATTGAAGTGTCACTCTCCCTTTTTTTATTAGTTCAGTTGCTTTTTCTCACCACAAGACACTGATTGAATCATGGACATTTTGGTTAAAAATTTGACCATGTATCTGTCTCTGCCCTCTGGACAGAAGTTTTGGACGCTGAGATAGATGGACTGTTCCTGGGTTGCCTGGTGTTGCTCGTTCAGGTTTAACTGTTGAAGCAACACTTTGCCCCTAAGATAGAACAGAAACCACTGTTTCTCTCTGTGCAGTGGTTGGATCTCTGACCAAAAAGTATTGACTCATTTTCAAACGTATCAATACTCAACAGCTGAGCACCCCAAGCAAAGGGTGCTCCTCCAGACTTTGTTGTGATTCCTCCCAACGAAACCCTCTGCCCTCTATCTGGTGACTAAGTGAAAGGGCCTAGCAGCCTCAGATGCCTCCTCGCTGCCCCTCCAGCCTCTCCTGGTGTGAGATGGGGAAGAGGGAGGGAGGCGGCTGCAGCAGAAAGTGGCTCAGTAATGAAGGGAACACATCTCAGAAAAGTTCAAGGGAATCTTTCTCAAGTCTTCTATTGATGAAACATTCTAGATGTGAGGGAAGGAAGTAAATCATTACATACGTTGGAAGCACTGGGGCTTAATTCTCTTGTAGAACCTTGTTGAGAAGGGCAGATGTGACCCAGGAAAGAAGGGACTACCATGTCTTGCTTTGTAGTATGGGAAGGAGGGGACATTTGTGGACATCAAGCAGGGCAAAGGTCTCCTCTGGATTTTTAGAGGCCTCACTTTTACACTTTTTATCCAAGTCAGGTCAGTGCCCACAACAAAGCAAGCGAAGGAAAACAGCCTTTATTTGGAGCCAACTTTGTAACATCGTGTCCATTCATTCTGCAACTCAAGTTGAAGCAGCCTGATCCCCCACCCCCATTTTAGTGAACGCAGTTACCCAGAGGGTGACTTTGAGTGACGCCTTCTATCTCACCACGCTGGCTCCTGCTAACCTTTGGCAGTTCCTTCACCACTCAGTCACAACTTCAGCAGTTATATATCTGTTCTTGCCCGGGTCTTTAGCATATGATAAGTTCATCATGAACATCACCTTATTTATTGGAGCCCCACCTTCCAGCACCTGTTGGAATCTGATTTATTCAGACACTTGAGTACAGGGTTCCTTTCTACAGAGTTGAGTATTATAGGCAGGTGCTGTGGTCCACAGAGCCTTGGTGGTCTTTGATTACATAGCTGTATGTATTTGTATGTGTACATATACATGTATAATTATGTATATATACTTATATGTGTATGTATTTAACTTCATAATGTTATCATGTTGGGTTAATGCAGGCAATGGCCTTGCTCCATGTTATCCTCTCATAACCAGGATTTTATAAATGTTTTCACCGGTAGCTTGGGCAGTAATTACTCACTCCTGGGCCCAGTATCTCCTGTGGTCCCTTCCAGGTATATTCATGAATATAGTTCTAAACAGAAAAGGGGAGGCTGCCCATCCTGTAGGGAGAGCTTCCCAGGTAGTTTGGTGCACTCAGTGAAGCATAATCTGAGAAGGTGATCAGAGCCTGCCGTATATCTAACGCCCACTCAAAGCAGAACCCCCTCGCCTTTGCTCCAGCATGAACATGGCTGCCTGCTTCTTAACTGCAAATCCAGTCGGGCATTCAAAGCCCTCCCTGGTACCCTCTTTCTACCTTTAAATTCTCCCTCTAGCTGTTACAGCAGTTTACTATCTCCTGGTCATACTTTGCCTTTTCCTTTCTGTTCCAGCTGTTTACTGAGCCTCCAGGGTCCATCCTGCTCATATTCCTTTTTTTACCAACCTTACCCTATCCCTATCTTTCGATATTCCAAACATCTATCCATTACAGTCTATTACACTAGCCTCATTTTTAAATGTTTTTTTCTTGATCCTTTGAACAGAATGGATTCTCTCCCTTTCCCCAACCCTCCTGGTGCTCTGTGCAGCCTTCTGTCCTGAGATCTGTCGTGGCCCATCTGGTTATGACTTGGCTCTATCCAGATCTGAGTGGCTCCTTCCCCACTGAGCTTTGAGCTTCCTGACAGTGGGAGTTTTGTCCCAGACAACTTTATATCTCAGCCAACACTTAAGTGCCTCACTGAGTAATGATGTAAAAAACAGATTGGAGAAGATTTTTCAAATCTTACATTATCTTGAGTTTCCATTATACCAATCTCACACTTGATGTTCCAGCTATAATGTGTTACAGTCCTTCCAGTGTGTATTCTACTGGTCCTTTAAAAAAAAAAAGAAGGAAAGATTCTAAGTCAGTGAATTTGAGGGACTTGCTGACCATACCTCTTCTTGAAGACCCTCAGAGGAGCCTGCTTTAACTCCATTAAAAGCACTATCCCCCCTGCATATGTATTCACACCTTCACTTCCCTCTTGGATGGGAAATTCTTGGTGGTGAGATAGACAAGGAGTTAGGACAAAGGACTCATGGTACGAGAACCAGATGTCGTACCCTACATGGCCAGATGATACCTTGGTTCTGAATGGAGGCAGAGGACAAGGAAACCATCCAAGTACACTATCTTCCCTCACGGGGACAGGGCACTTCTTATGCCACATGCTGGATGCCTTGTGGAATGATTCTTCACAAGAACATAATCAGAATGGATTTGAGATCACGTTAAATGGATCTCAGGGAAAGCACTGACTTTCTTAAAAGGCACAGCTAATGGCCATTACTCTATTACAAGCAGGAGGGAATTTAGTAACTAAATGAAAGGGTTCCCCAAGCCCCACTCAGCAGGCCCTCTGCAACAGGGACAAATCTCTGTGAAATCAGCCATTTGCTGTCTTTCCCCTGGGTTCCATGGTGCATGCTGCTAAGCAGGTCGCTCAGAAATAAGCAGGCCTGCACAGGTGTTTGGGAGATGGAGGGATCGCAAAGCAGTTCACACTCAGCAAACTTGACTTTAAAATTGCTTTTCCCAGTTAAAGTGGATTCTACACTCAGTGAGACGGGAAGCTGGCCTAAGTTATCACCATTTGTCAACTCTTGTGCCCACTTGACCCCTGTTGCCCCCCTTTCCCCCTTGTCATTCCTGTTTGATGATGCTCATCATCTGCAGGGACAGGCACCAGATCCCAGAGACCAGTGGGAAGACCAGGGGACTGTGGCCAGCTGTCAGGGGAGCAAGGGCTGTCAGCAGACACTCGTGCCCCTTATCTAAGCTAGGGACTGGAATGCAGTTTGACCGTCAGCCGATGTTTCCTGTAAACATAAAGATGAAATGGAAGCCCTTGGAGACTTTCGTAATGCAGACTGAAGATGAAAGCGTGCTCTGCTTTATGGTCTTGAACACTGTCCTTGACTTCTGTGTCTTTCTGGTTTCCTTGCAGTTCCTCAGCACGTTGTTTGCCCCCTTAAACTTTGTCATGGAGAAAGTGGAGAGTGTCCTCCCGTCCAGTCTGTGGCACCAGCTGACGCGGATCTGAGGGAAGCCCCTTCCCCAGCTCACCTCACACAGCCGATGCCACCGTCTCCTCTGTGCCAACTCCTTGTGGACTGCAAGAAAGCATGACTTTGAAAAAGGGAAGCCATTCCGGATTTTAAAATGTTCATGGACTGTCTGTTCCATATTAAAAGCTGTTTTGTTGTACAAAATTACTGATGTTCAGTTCTATTTTATTTTGCCTTCAGAAAAGAAGAAAAAAGTAAAAAATAAACTTTTGTGTATTGCAGCAATCAGTTGTGTCTTTCTATGTCTTCCAACCCTAAAACATATTGATGTCCCAGATAACAGGTTTACACTGAATTTTTAGGGACCCAGCTCTGCCGAATGCCACACCAAGCTGCTCTGTGCTGAGGGAATGCATCTCAGTGGGGCCGGAGAACCCCTTAGAGTAAGAAGCTTGGACAATGGAATCTCTTCCATTCAAAAGTGCTAGCTTTTTCAACCCCAAATTGAATGTCTTTCTAGGCCAAATGCCCCCAAAATACAAGCTTCCAAAATGAACCACCAGAAACATGAATGGAACAGAACACATCCCCTGGCAGGATGTTTCGAGTCAGACTGTACTTATCAAATAGTATTCAGCACAGTCATTCTAGCAATCATTTTGTTTTTTGCTGTTTGAACATCATGAGAAGAAAACTTCTGATGAGAAGCTACAGACCCAACAGTCTGTTTTAGAACCTGGCCATTTTACCAACATCACTTTTTTAAAAATGTTTTTTAATAACAGTACTTAAAAAAAAAACACGTTTGCATTCCTGATGCTTCAACATGAGCATTCTTTGAGTATTTTAGTGAACTGAACCAAAATGATCATTTGTCCTCCCCACCTTTACAAAACCCTTCCACATGATTCATACCTTGCTTAGCATCTGGCTTCACTTAAGCAAAAGAAGAAAAATAAATAAACGCGAATCCTCTATCTGAAAAGTACCACTATGTAAAATCTCGATCCCAGGCTTGGGAGAAAAAAGGACTGTCTTTGACATAGTTTGCTTTCCCTTTTATCTGGAATCTCAAATCTCTCCCGCCAGTGTTAAAATCAGCAGTATTCGGGGGAAACACCAGGCCACTGTCTCCTTTCCATTTGGACTTCCTGCTGCCTCCTGGTCTTCCTCCAAGAGCAAAGTCAGGTGGGCAGGTGACATGCGGGCACAAATGCCTGGAGTTGTTTTGCTTTGGGCAAATTTGTGTTTGTATCTACTTTCACAGAGCCTTGTTGGGGATAAGCAGTTGGCTCCTGCTCTTGAGAATGTATCTAAAGGCTGAGCTCCATCCACACACCAGAGGCGCCGCCTTCCTGGCAAGGCCACGTCTGCCTTGTTGGCCTCTACCTCTTCTTCCCCCAGAATGAATCAAGGTAGAGGGCAGGCTCAAATGATTCCTTCAGTTTGAGGTAGAGGGCAGGCTCAGATGTTTCCTTCAGTTTGAGGTAGGAGGCAGGGATCCTTCCTTCAGTTCGAGGTAGGGGGCAGGCTCAGATGATTCCTTCAGTTCGAGGTAGGGGTCAGGCTCAGATGATCCCTTCAGTTCCAGGTAGGGGGCAGGCTCAGATGATTCCTTCAGTGAACTGCTATAATAGGTACATAATAGGTACAAATAGGCCTTGACCCACGTTCAGAGGAGATAGATCCACCTCTGCTGAGAAAGACCAGGAAGGCTTAGAATGGTAATTTAGAAATGGAACAAGAAGTAATTAATATGATTCTTTGATTTAATAGATGAAGAAACCAAAGTCCAAAGATTATAATAAGCTATGACTGGAAGGTTTAAGAGCCTGCAGGCAATGAGAAGTGGAAATGTCCTGAAGAAATGATTAGAAACCCTGTGAGAACCCTGAGTTGCAGAAAACACAGCAAAGAAATGGAAGATAAGGATTTAAAAGTGTCTAGTTAATTTAATAACTATGACTTTAGAGCAGTTTTATGGAGAGGCGAGGCAGAAGTTAGCCTTTGTGTGGTAAGAGGAGCACATGGAAGAGCTGCAGGTGGAAAAAAAGTGGGGACAGATGCAGACACAGTGGGGAAGGTAGAGATGGCTGAAGGGAAAGAATTTATGGGCAGAGAGAAGCTCATCACGCCAGGAGGACAGACATGTCTCTGAACTTGAGGGAAACAAATGACATGAAGTTACTAGACTTTTCATCTTATAATCCAGGGTCAAGACCCCAGTGTCCCCTTTTCTACCCCATCCCCACCCTCAACTACTCTGTTCAACAATTAAGCAATTAAGCAAGTGGAGGACCCAGCCTTGAGTTTTCACCTCCTCAGGCCTTGATGCCAGACACTTTGCCTTGTTTTTGCCCCCTGACAACAGGCACAAAGGCCCTCTTTTAAGAGTTTTAGGCAAATCTGTGCAGAGGCAGAGCCAGAGCAACCCAAATAACACAGCAGAAGTTTTTAAGATGATCATTTGTACATGATTCTTACACTTTTTCTCAAGGTTCACGCTTCCTGATGTCTGAGATGGCAGCTGGAATCCCAGTTGCATTCTGCTTTCTGCTTTTATTTCTGTGTGAGGCTACATCAAAATCCATTCCGAGGGGCTTTCCTTTTTAAAGGCCTCTCCTCCCAGCAGGACAATAAGGGCCCCCTAGTCTCAACTGAGATGTGTTTGCTGGAATGTAAATGCAAACATTTTGAATCAAATGTTAGTAAAGTGGATCTAGCAATGGATACAGGAAATAATAAAATATGACCAAATGGAAAGCTGTGCAGGTTTATGCGGTTTTCTTTATCTTCTTTTATCAGTACTTACCAGTATCCAAGTTACTCTAGCTTTATAAAAGGATTGGGAAGCTTTCCATGTTTTTATATGGCCTGGAATAATTAAACAATAAAATTATCTACTCTTACACTATTAGATAAAACTCAGACACGAAACATCTGATTTTAGGGCTTTGCTAAGGGTAGATTTTTGAGCACCTTTTCTCTATCTTCTACGTGATACAAATTTTGTCCTTATTATGTTCCGTTAATTGCATATTTTTCTAGAAAACTACCATTTTCTTTATCACCAAATAGTGATAAGGGTATTTAATTTACACATTTAATCTCCTCTGCGTTCGTGCATTCATTTCAGACCTTGTTTATTTTCACTGCTCTTCTTTCCTCTCTTTAATCAGCCTCACAGATAGGTCTATTTTTATCCTTGCAAAGAAATAAGTTTTTGATGTACTAATGCACTCAACTATTCTATTTCCTCTATATTTTATTATTTTCAGCTTTGACCTATTTATTTGTTCTTCCTAGTTTCTCCTTTTTGTAAGTTAAAATTTTTCTAATTTCCTAAATGAGTATCTGGTTTATTTTTATTTTCAAAGGAGGGTGCTTCAACCTATACATTTTTCTCTGTGTGAAGCCTTCTCATCCTATACATTTTTTTCTATACAGTTTTCTCCTTTTTATTCTTGTCAAAAAATTTAGAAATTTCTGTTTTGATTTCTTTTATTCATGAGTGATCCCTTGGGGGCACTTCCTAACAATTCTCTACTATTGACTTTAAGAAATTTAGTTTTATTATTACTCTGTAATATCTAATGAAAGAGCATCAAAGGTGTTCAACCCCAAGTACTGTAAACCCTACTATCTGCCACCCACACATTACTTAGAAGTAAACTTTCGATCTCTCTTTTCATAATTTTTGAAAATTATGTTTTTCTTCAACACAAAACTTCAAAGGCAGTATTAAAATGTTTACAACGTGTCTAGATGAGGACGGCTTTTCCTTGTTTTCTTGTCCTATGACGAGGAACTTCACCGAGCCGGAACAAAGCTGCGTGCTGGGTCTCTAAGGAGCTGAGTAGACACAGGGAAGTGGTGCTCCCCACCCCCTGTGCAGTAAGGGAGGGATGTGGAGCCCTCTAAGATGGTCACAGTATATATTAGGCTTCTGCTCTGCAGAGGTGAGACCTTGGGCTGGCTGTACTAAGAACTGAAATTTTAAAAGGGGCAAGGGGAAGCGAAGGTCTAGACAGGTGCTTGAAGAAACTAGCTTTGTACTTCTGCCTTTTGAGGGTCAAGGGTGGCTGAGGCCAAACAGCCAGGAACTGGCTGATAGGGAAATTTCCATTGAAATTCTGTCAGGAATGCTTCAGGGAGTCACGGGGCCAGGGAATAGACAATTTCAAATAATCTCTGTATCTCCTTCAGAGTAATATCTACAATTCTCTAGCAGACACAAGAGGACAGAAAAGAAGCCAATTCTCTTCCCCTCTTTCCCCAGCTTGTCTCGGGTTGTCTCTAGCTCATCAATTTCAGATTCCCTTAGGTCCTCAGCCTTGAAGCTTGTGTGTGACCAACCTCAGGAAGAAAACCTTTGGAACAGAAAACCTCAAGTGACCATTGCAGAAAGGCAAGCCAGCCTCAAGACGACATGTGTTTGTAAGTTACAATCTTAGAGAATGTGCAAGGAATATAATTTTTTAAATGTTCTTTAAAACCACCTACTTCCTACTCTGAGCCCAGGCACCAGGCCAGCAGGGAATGTCATCCGAGTCCTGAGCAGGCTGGTGTCCACCTCCAGAGTGTCTGCCATCAGAAGGCCCAGATCCTAGTAGCCTCTGAGATCATCTCATTGTCCAGGCCTGCAGTGTTCCACAAGCTCTCTGATTTTGTGGCATGCACAGGGCCACAGGCCCACAGCGTCCTCCATGCCAGCCTTCCATGTGGGAACACTGTTGCCTCCTTTAAGGTACATCTAACCACCCCCTCAGCCTCTTCAGCCTCCCTTCAGTCACCTGCGAGCATCTTGCAGGGGAGACACCCCACCCACCACAGGCTCTTCCTGGAAGCTTCTGCTTTCCTCCTCCTCAGGGACAAAGAGCAATGAACTCTGGACACTTGCTTAAAATGGCAAAAACGAGGATGCAGAGAGAAAATACGAATTAACAACTCAAAAATATTTCACCCTACAAGTCAAATAACCTGCTTCACATCCAGTGCAGATTAGATTCATTTGTTCACTCATTCCTTCATTCGATTGAAATGTGTTGGTCAAGCACAGTGATTCACAATGTAATCCTAGCACTCTGAGAGGCCAAGGCTGGAGGAGCCTTGAGCTCAGGAGTTTGAGACAAGCCTGAGCAAGAGGGAGACATTGTCTCTATGAAAAATAGAAAAATTAGCCAGGTGTTAGGGCAGACACCTGTAGGCTTAGCTACTCAGGAGGCTGAGGCAGGAGGATCTCTTAAAATGAGGAGTTTGAGGCTGCTGTGAGGTATGATGACACC